ATAAAGCGAGACTCCATCTTATAAATAAATAAATACTGAGCCACCTGCCACCAGGGATTTCACACGAATAGTTACTGATAGTGTTTAAACGTGAGCTGTTGTGTCATTTCTGCTCATTAGTTTTATGCAAACAGCTTACAGACAAGGATCAGCAGCCCTCTGGAAGTGAGGGAGAAGATGATGATGTGGAGGCTGCCTTGAAGAAAGAAGTTGGTGATATTAAGGCATCTACAGAGATGAGGCTAAGAAGATTCCAGTCAGTGGAAAGTGGAGCAAATAACGTCGTCTTCATCAGGACACTTGGAATAGGTGTGATGAATACTTGTCAAGATTATTGATTTCATAACATTTGGGTATCTTCCTGTCTCAGAGAATGAATACTGCTTACAAAATGGCTTCTTGGGCATGGCTCAGTTAATCATTTGATGGCAGCCTCCATACGTAGTATTAACAATAGGCCTGTGGAGAGGTAGAATGGGGTGGTGGACATAGCATTGGCTTAGGAGTGGAAACCTGGCTTTGCCCCTTCCTTTGTATCTAACTTAAGGTAGAACTAGAGTGCTTGTTCTGTCTAATGGGGGCAGCTTCTACTCAGCTCCAGCCAATTGTTGCTCTTGGGAATGCAGGACCAGATGTTCCAGTTTCTCAAAAGAAGTTGGAAGTCTGGAGTTTTTTGAAAAGGGTCAACTAATTTAAAAATTTTTGTAGCAGCCCCAAATAGACTTGTATGTAGGCAGGTTACAGCCTGAATACTGCCTCTTCATGATCTTGTGTCCAACATGGTTCTGGGATTTCTCCTGGGTCTGAAGTTTAGACTTCTGTGCTAACTTAGCTAATGGATTGATTACATCTTTTTAAGTGACTCACAGATTTTTTTTTTTTGTAAAAAAGTATGTACAGTACTGTTTAATGTACTCTTGATAGTTGTTACAGGAAAATAACAGCATGATATTATGGTCGGAAAAGTCAGGACATCACAAAAATGTTAACAGTGTCTACCTAAATAGTCGTTTCTAGTGAAAGCAGTAATAATGAAAACTTAAAATATTAGATACAGTATAGTACATATTAGGCCCTGAAGAAACATTAGTTGAAAAAAATGACTAGGTAGATTCATTTAAGATTCATTACGAGAATTTCTTTTTCTGTCAACTTATTGCCAATGAAAATTCATTTTAGAGTTTAGTGTTTAAGATGTCTGAGAAATCATCTTCTTGTTTGTTGTGTTAACTTTTTTCTTTTTCCTTCAGAACCTGAGAAATTGGTGCATCATATTCTCCAGGATATGTACAAAACTAAGAAGAAGAAGACTCGAGTTATTCTACGAATGTTACCCATCTCTGGCACATGCAAGGCTTTTTTAGAAGATATGAAAAAATATGCAGAAACATTTTTGGAACCCTGGTTTAAAGCTCCGAACAAAGGGACATTTCAGATTGTGTACAAATCTCGAAATAACAGTCACATGAATAGAGAAGAAGTTATCAGAGAATTGGCAGGTATGTTTCTCTTCATGATTTTCCATAGGTATTCAGTGGTAAATACTTGTTCTTGGGTTTTTTAAGAATTTTTCTTTTTGAAGATTTAAGGCTTACATTTTTGAATATAAAACAAATATATTAAAATGTTTTAAGAATAATATTGAATCAACTGATTTCAGTATGTTGGATATGAGATTTCTGGTAGTTAAAGTCTTTTTTAACTTGAAATTTTTTTGGAAAAAAAAGTATTCTTATTAAATGTCTTAGGGTTTCATTTGTATTTATTTATTGTAAGTGTTCAGAGTATTTGAAGTCCACATAGAGGAGTGGATTAGTGTATGTCTTGTTTTAAAAAGAAACAGGGACAAAAGATGTTTTTCTATCAAACTTAATGGTATCCTCCTCAGCTATGTGTTTTCCTGTTTCTACAGGAATAGTGGGCACCCTCAATTCAGAAAATAAAGTGAATCTCACCAATCCACAGTACACGGTGGTAGTAGAAATCATCAAAGCTGTCTGTTGCCTAAGTGTTGTGAAAGATTACATGTTGTTTAGAAAATACAATCTCCAGGAGGTGGTGAAGAGCCCTAAGGATCCATCACAGCTTAACTCAAAGCAGGGAAATGGGAAAGAAACTAAATTGGAATCTGCTGACAAATCAGATCAAAACAACATAGCAGAAGGAAAAAATAACCAGCAGGTGCCACAGAATACTGAGGAGCTGGGGCAGAAAAAAACAACGTCTAATCCCCAGGTGGTGAATGAGGGAAGAGGCAAACCTGAACTTGCAAGTCAAGCCACAGAAGGATCCAAGTCAAATGAAAATGACCTCTCATAGGAGGTCATTTGGTGTTGAGGTGGGTTTTCCAGCTGGGGTTCTGTGAAATGTTGCTGGGGTTTCACCTGAAATTGTGACTAAAAACAGTTTTTTATTTGTGTGCTGCATTATGCTGTTCTCACAGTAGTGAACAATGATTGCGCAGCCGTGTTAACAGTTTTGTTAGGGATCTTTCAGCTCTTCTGATTTTACGTATGGGCAGACCCATGTGCTACTATTGCAAAGAGGGGAGGATGGGAGAAGGGGGATGTTGGCCTCTCCCAGTCTCCTCTTATGCAGCTGACTTATGGGAGTGAACTGACTGAAGTAGAAAATCAGAAGGAAGTTTTCATTCTAAGGAAGGAGTTTTTACATGCTACAACTCAGCTGTCCCCCTGCCACTTTGTGGTAAACACTGCAAAAATGTGGATCATGTAGGTTAGAAGTGAATTGTTTAGTGAAGTTTTTGGACTTTGGTGATTTTCTTATTTGGTTATGTCTGTTTTTATATTTTATTAACATTGGTGTGTAACAAAGCTGACAGTCCAGTGCTGCAATTCTGGAAGGCAAGATGTGAGAAAGAAGAGAACCTTTTTAGGCATAGAGCTACAGACATTTCTGAAAAAGCTGTTGATGAATTTCAGTCTTCTGAGTATACTTCAGTATACTAGTGCAACAAAGGACACAAAGAAATTCTGTCTTTATAATGAAAGCCACTTCTCAAGGGTTTTATATGGACTCAGTCCAAGCTGTCCTGTCCCGTTGTGCATTGTCTGTGGCATACAACTTAGAAAACTAGCAGCTCTAACTATAAATCACAGCCACTTGAGAAGAAAGGATATTCATTATTTTCAAATGGCTTTTGGATTATCAAAACAGTAAGGCTTTTGTTCAGAAACCACATTTAGTCAAAAGGTTTAGGAAGCAAATTATTTAGTAGCAGAACTTATCTCAGGAAAGGAAAATATGCATATTTGGTGAGAATCTAATAATAACATTAAAATGCTGGGGCAAGATGCAGTACAAAATTGAAAAAACATTATTCTCAGTAAGTTGATTTACTGATGATATCTCATGTGATACTAAAAAGATTTTGTGTCATTAACTGAAAAGGAGGAGCTTCTCTATCCAGGATGATGAGTCAACAGGTTTCACTAATATTTGTCATACTGTGGCATTTGTAAGATTTGTAAATAACAAAATTCAAATAAAACTTCTTCTGTTGCCAGGAGCCTGCCAAAACAAAGGCCAGTGTATAATGTTGTGACATCATATCTGATAACCAGAGATCTGTTATCTGCATTCCTAGTGTCCCATCAGTGGTTGTTTCCATAAGTCATTTTGCATTATTTAAAAAAAAAATTCTGATGTTGACATTATAGCACACTGCTTTCTTCCCAGAGATGCTGATACCAAAAACTTGAAGATAGAGTGATGTTCTGAATAATGCTGCAAAACTGGTTACCTGTATCAAAGACCCATTTATGCAGAAATGTTAAAAAACACCCAAAACAAAAACCTGGACAAACAGCACATAAACTTCCTGCACCGTACAGACATCCAGTGGCTTATCAGAGGAGGAGCTCTTTACAGGATATTTGAATTGAAAGGTGAATGCCAGAGTACTTACAAGGAAACAGCTTTTGCTGAGTGCTTTGGAAATGAAAAATGACTGCAGGAAGTAGCCTATTTAGTAGACATTTTTCATCACATGAACAAATGAACAAGTCTCTGAAAGGTTCTGGGGAAAAATTCTTTCTTAAAGTGACAAGAGTCTTAGATCTAAAAGTAAACTGACTTGCCACCTTGCCAGAGGAATTCTTGAAATATTTCTGTAGTCACTTGGACTTGAAAATGAAGAGTACAACTCTCAAATCTTTCTATAACCTACCTGGAGGAACGATAAAACCCAGTTAAATAGCATTTTCTCTCCTTTTCCCAGCACTAGTATATAACTGCATATGAAGAACCTTTTCTCTAAATCTGCTCAGCTTGAAATTTTGTCTCTGATGGAAGAGAATGAACGCAGCCCTAGTCGGACAGTCCTAAGTTTCTGTGAAATAAGAGGATTCTTCAACTTAGTGCTCACACTCACATACAATGAGGGTTCCCTGCAAGGGTTTCCTGAATTTGAAAGTGTTTTCAAGGCCTATTTTTGGGTAAAGCAATTGAAAAAGGCAGACACCAACAAAGTCTGCAAAATAAACTGTGCAGATTAAGAATATTAAGGAGCTGCAAAGTTAGCTTGAGGAAATAGGCTTGTCCATAAGTTTTAAAAAGTTAGGAAGTAGTAAAAATGTTAGGCCTCCTGCAAAAGTGGCTATGTTTATTTAATGGCTAGTGAACACGGGAATATATTTTTATCCTCCTAACTAGTGGTTCTGTTTGGTAAACCAGACTAGAATGATTTGAGAGGGGCAAAGATAAGGTAGGACTTTCCTTCTATAGCTTTACATATTTAGAATGTTAATGATGTTGAAGTTACCTTGAAAGGATTGATAAGAGGATTCCTTTTTTTTTTTTTTTTTTTCAACTCCTGTTCCCCACCTTCGATTAGAGGATTCTTAATATCATTTAGGAGAGTAGGGAGGATAGGATTTTGGTGCCTTCTTCAGCAGACTTGCTCCAAGACAAAGATTCTTTTATTTTGATAGTGTAAGACAAAAGGACTTGGGGAAAAATTGGCCATATGCCTACATACAACTTTGTGGAAGCTGCTACTCTATGGAATGATTTTGATTTTATAGTTTGTTTTTAATTGCCTTTTATATTTATTTGTATTTGGTAAGGCTCAGTAGTTACACAGGCTGTTCTTTCCCAGCTACAAAATCCTGTGCTTGGTTGTAACCTGAATTCATTAAAAGATTTGTTTTCAGGTTTATCAACTGTTTATTTTCACTGAAATTTGAACATGTTATTTTATAAATGATGAGGTTCCAGGGTAGGAAGTAAGTACTTTTTATTCCCCTTTAGTTTTTCTTTTTAAAAATGACGTCGGTTAAAAACAAAAAAACTGCAGTCTGTGGTTTATAAAACTTGTTTAGCTCCATAGAGGAAAGAGTATTAAACTTTGTATTTTGAAATATGTTTATCTAAGGTTAAACATGGTTTTCCAGTGTTATTTTTTACTTGTATTTTGCTTTTGGTACAGCCAAATGTCGAGCTTGTTTTTCATAGTTCCTGATATTTTCAGAAAAATGAAAATAAATTTGTTCCCTACAAATTGGTGTTCTGTAATTTTTCTTCCTTTCTGCCTCTTAGTAAATCTCTTTATAGTGTATATATATGTATATCATAAAAGATGTTTATATGTCAAATTATAAAAAGTCATGGACATGATCCTAAAAAGAAAGATATAAAAAATATATTAACTACCCTCAAATAATGAATACTCCTAAATCCAAGTTTCAGATATTTTACAGTTAATTTGCTTCAAAATGAGGTACAGTAATACAGTATGTAATTTCATTAAATTCACTTACTGAGTTTTAAATTATTTGTACTCATTTTAACAGTATTTTAATGTCTTGAAGTTTGATCTCATAAAGATGTTAAGCAGAAGAAATTGTCTTGAACATTTATCTTAGGATGTATATCTTGAATTAATCAGGCACAAGATAAATAAAAAGATTCACTGTGTACATTCTTTTTCTGAGTAATCATTTGATTCCTGTTATTTTAAACACTATATCATATTAATTTAAACACATTATCAATACCTTTGTCAGTTTGGTTCTTAAAACAACTTTCGTCCATATATTTTTAGACTTTTATTTACTTGAAATTTTTTAACTAAGTAGAAAACAAAACTTAAAGCAAAACAAAATGTCAACAAAAATTTCAACCAGGAAGGATTTTAAACATTTTAAGAGTAGTCACTGAATTATCAGGAACAAATAATGAGATAAAGCAATCATGTTACTACTTAACCCTCTAGTTTTCTTATCAAGCTATGTTTGTTCCCATTCTTGGTCTCTTAAAACGTTGTGTTTGATTTTCCCAGTGATTGTCTTTGGGAGTTCTTCAACAAATTCCACCTAACTGATAGAAAAACGTTGAGACGCTTGCTTCCATCCTTCCAGTTGTCAGTGCAATAGGAGACAGCTTGCATGAAATGCTGAGACTGAATTTTAGAGTTGAGATTATCTTAGCCTAAGCTCATTGTATCTCATGGACACCAGAAACTGGTCTGTTTATATAGGAAAGACGACAGTGTAGCTCCATCTTACAGGTTTTTAGTGCCAATTCACTTAAATGCTTGGCGACAAGAAAGTAATAATCCCTTTACCCTATTGCTTTCCCGTAGTTCACACTAGTCCTAGGTCTCTACTGTTCCTGGTAGATGGACACTACACCTAAATGCAAAAAGAACACTTCCTGTCTTCAGAGCTGGATCCTGGAGGTTTTGAGGAAGAGTTTTTAGGTATAATTCGGAAGATACACAGTTTTCTTGTCTGCCCTGAGTTGACCATAAAAATCCTCTTTCTGTTCTGTGAAAATAAGACTACTACTGTATTTTAAAATGCACTCAAACAGCCTTTCTGAAAGTGAAGGTCACTGATTTAGTGAATTTAATGGAGAAAATGTGAGTAGTTCTTAGGTTGATATCAACTACCTTTTGACTGAAATGATGCTAGCTGAAATAGAAATCTCATGCAGAGGATTAGTCTGTATAAACCAATTCCACAGAAGGAAACTACAAGGCCATCTTCATGTCTTTATATAGATTTGTTCTTAAATCCCTCTTTGAAGAAAGTTTCAGGAAAGATTCCATGGTTTCTTTGGATATTATCTTCTTTCTGAACATTAAACCCCTTTGAATTTATAGGGGTATTAGGGCCAAGAGTCCTGGGATAGATGAGTCAAGTGCTGTCCCTAAGCACAGGGCACTTGGCAATTCTTGGCTACTGTGCTTTTCTCATACAGAATGGGACAAATTAGTTCTAGAAAGATTCTTAGTAGTGATTCAGTATTGCAGAGTTGATTAAAAGCTCTAGTTTATCATGTATTTGTACTGTTCTAACAAAACATTTTAGAGTTCTTAGGGCTAAACAAAAAAAAGGTATCTTCTACCTGTATAATGAGCTAATATAAAGTCAAAATCCAGTAAAATCTACATTCTAGCTTAGACCCTAGTTTGGTAACATCTGAACTTTACTTTTGGGCAAAATACTTACCTTTCTTGTATATTTGTAAGGTGCAATTGTTTTTTCACATGATCCTGAAACTCAAGAGTTAATTTCTCTGGGTTGTAGGACTTAAAGGGTAGAGCTAAGACAACAGAAGCTTTCACTACCTGCAACAGAAAAGTTAATTTATCTTGCTCTATTTGTTTTTCAGACACATCAAGAATCTGCAACCAGTGCTGAACACAGGTACTTACTATTTGTTAATAGCAGTTTGAATGATGACTGCAAATGCCAGAGATTGCCTCTGAAACAAAGCTTGGATACAATTACAAAGTGAGAGGCCGGGCGCGGTGGCTCAAGCCTGTAATCCCAGCACTTTGGGAGGCCGAGGCGGGTGGATCACGAGGTCAAGAGATCGAGACCATCCTGGTCAACACGGTGAAACCCCG